TGCTGTATCCCCCAGTGCTGTATCCCCCAATGCTGTATCCCCCAGTGCCTCCCTCTGTGTACCTGGGATACTCCGTTTCCTTGTATCAAAATCTTATCTGTATAATATTTTTTTAAAAGCTATGACATTATTTTTGCGTTCTGGTCCCTTTAGTAGTAGGATTTAGACTGAGTCTGTCTGGTCCTGCATCACTCCCTGCAGGCTCTGGCACGGCTCAATTCCGGAACATTCTCATATAGGAGCCGGGAGGGGTATTGACTTCCATGGGGTCCCCCCCCCAGGAGTGACCCCAGCAGGCAGGCCTGCCCATCGCACTCTTCCCGGGGAAGGTGAAAATGAATGTGACAAAGGTGGTGGCCTTCCTCTCGTAGGAGACTGTCACACTGTCCCCTCCAGTGAAGGGAAGTTCATTCTCCCCACAGAGCTGTAAAGACAGAAAGAAAGAAAGACAGAAAGAATGAAAGAAAGTTAGTTTGCCAATACAGCTGACAATATCCACGAGACTCTTAGTGACATCGCTGTGGCCTCAGTCACCTTCATAAATAGCCCCTTTCCTGTTTCTCTTTGCACTCTGCATATTCAGTCTGACATAACCTACTACCTGCCACTAAAATCCTTATTTTTCATTTTGTAAATGTATTTGTAAGATTACCTTTAAGGTTATGTAAGCATTCTGTGTGGCCTTTAGCTGTATATTTCTTCATTATAATCATGGCATTAGATGCTGACATACACAGACATACTAATCTGTATACAGACAGATTAGTGTCCCTAAAAAGTGCATTGTGTGCATTTGTGTGAATTGTGTGAATTCGGTTGGGACTGTCAGGAAAGGAGTTTGTGGTTAACGTTCACGTCATGTCGCTTTGGTGGATCATTTTGATCAGTTGAATTTATGTAGCAGTTTCATTCATGGTCTTCTTCAGAACAACAAAATAAATTATATAAAATACTTTATACAAATATTGTCTGGTGGAAGGGCAAACAGAAATGACCCCGGACTCCAAAGCTTTTCTTTGAATCAAAAACGGAGATACAGCAGCTGTTGCTGTTTTTGTTTTTTAGGAATCTGTTTGCAAAATGCCACCGGCAGCAGCCGAGTCTTTGCCATCAGGATTTGCGCTCACACCTGGCGCTCCTTGGGCAGTCCTGCAGCTTCTGCACGTATGTATCACTTAGGCCATGGTTGAAACTCATAATTTGACCGTGATGAATGACGGTAAGTGCTTCAACAGTTTGTAAGAAGGAACCGACAAATTGATGCACGATTTCCTTAGCCTTCATCTCTTAAATAGGCCGAGTACGTAGGGGAAAACCATCACCGTCGGCAGCCGAAATGAAACAATCTGTCAGCCTTTGGACCTGGTTTTGCATTCCCTTTATTTTTTAAACAGTCGTCCTTTAAAGCTACAACAACGCTTTTGGTTAGTATCTCGCATTTGACCCAAATGACGTCGGTGATCAGCATTACGAATATACGATATAAGTAACACACGATCAGTTACTGAGAAGAGACATTGCACATCTTCAAACGGCACCGTGTTCTAGAAGCAGGCGCCTAAATATCTGTTTGCGTAAACCCAGGGAGGCCTAATGCGATTTGTATCGACGGTGGTGTGGCGTGTCAGTCAGCTGTTACTGTGACCTCATTAAACCGCTACACCAATGAGATCAGGCCAGGCCAGGGGAAGCGCTCGGCGGTCCGATGAATAATGCATACAGCGTTCCGTAGCGATCCACCTCAAGGTTAATTAAAAGATGCTAGTTTATGTTACCCAAGCAGATTAGATAAAAAGAGGGCAAGATCAGTAGATGGAGATGACATCACGAGTGATATTTAACTCCACCACTTTATACACTGTACATGATACTTATAGTAACATCATACGCCTTGTACGTCTTTTCACTACCATATTTTTAAGGCGAGCAATTTCATTTGGTGCAAAGAACTGAACTACAGTGTAACTCATTTAAATCATGCAACTAATTTTCTAATTGTTTGTAAGTTTATGGGTAGATGAATGTGTATGACTGTTAGCTGTTGTAATCGGGTTTAGATAAAGGTGTCAATGAGAAGATGAACTGTAACCGGCGAGTGTCGTTCCTTGTTGTTTTTTGCTCGGAGACAAATGGCCTGACCATGAAGGAGACGATTCTTCACTTGAAGTCCAATCTGGAATCTGGATCATGCAGACTCACAACATCCTTCACAATGACCTTCCATCTCACTTCCAACGCCTCGTTCATTCTTTGATGAAAAGCGATACATTGGAAAGAGAAATGAATTTTAATGCTTGCAAAGTCTATATAAAAGCCGTGACAAATTTAGATGCAGTTAGTGGATTTAATGCGGTTTGTCCCGTTTAATTTATGATTGATTTATTCTGATATGCTGCCAGAAGAATTGAAGTTCTGGCTTTATTTTTCTCCCAGAGTTTGTTGCCGGCTTTAAATTTTCCTCTGAAATTTGCTCGCTGAAGAAAACACTGCAGTGAATCTGTGTCCTATGCATCCATTCTCCACAAACGCTTATCCAGGACAGTCGCGGTGAGCCTGGAACCTGTCCCAGAATGCACCGGGCACAAGGCAGGGGACATCCCTGGATGGGATGCCAGTTGAATCAGTCTATAAAAGAAAATTTACACCCACCAAAGACGACTCGCAGCACAGATGAGTTTGCAAGTTTCGCTTTGTACACTTGAGCGGGCTGT